AAACTCCATTCATTCTTCAGAGACAGAAACACAAACTTCACTGAGGACTAGAGCAGCATTTGCACACAACTAATCCCATGAAGGTGTCTCTATTTACATCCTTTAACATCCCATTACAATTCCATCACACACAAATATTCTCTGCTCAGGGTAAGAACAGGGTAAGAGAAGCACAAACAGGCTCCTGCTGGCTGCAGCCTCAGCTGGCAGATTCAAAAGGCAAATAAATTTTCTGTGTCTACCCTGTACTGCCTAGAGCAGCCAGAAAAGAGAAGAAAAACTTTTTCTAGTATTAAGTGAAAAAGAAAGTATTTTAAGACTAAAAAAAAGCTGGCCTTCATATTGATTCAACAAGCTTTGGTCAGGAGATGAGCCTGGAATCCTGTCCTTTAGCTGTGTCCAGCTTCTTCAGTGAGTACTGACTTGGGCAAACACCACAGAAGAGACAAGACACAGCAGGGCCCAGGGCTACAGTGAGGGGCTGGAGCGTGGGCAGAGAAGGGCAACGGAGCTGCTGGGGAAGGGTCTAGAGCCCAAGTGTGGGGAGGAGCAGCTGAGGGAGCTGGGGGTGCTGAGCCTGGAGCAAAGGAGGCTCAGGGGAGACCTTCTGGCTCTGCACAGCTCCTGACAGGAGCCTGGAGCCAGGGCGGGGTCGGGCTCTGCTCCCAAGGAAGAAGCCACAGGACAAGAGGAAACAGCCTCAAGTTGCCCCAGGGGAGGTTTCAGTTGCCCCTGAGGAACAATTTCTTGCCCTGGAGGGCTGTGGAGGCCTGTGCCAGGCTGCCCAGGGCAGTGGCGGAGTCCCCACCCCTGGAGGGGATTCCAAGCCGTGGAGATGTGGGGTGAGGGACACGGGGCAGTGGGGACCTGGCAGTGCTGGGGGGTGGTTGGACTCCAGGATCTTAGAGATCTCTTCCAATCAAAACAATTCTATGCCTCTAATATTTAGACCCATAAGAACCCCAGTCCTCTCTATTTGTATTTCTTTCTAGTTCATGTATGGAAAGATGATCAAAGTAAAAATAAAAACAACAGGTTAATGCTGCAGAGAAAGATTCCTTCAAAGAAAAGATCTACTCGTGGAGATCCTCCTCACCACAGCCCTCACTGGAGGGAGACCCTCTGAGGGCACACGCAGTGCCCTGAGCTCCTTCACTGGACTCAGCTCCGAGGCAAATTGTTCACTGACCCCAATAACAGACCCATCTTTTTGCTTTCAGAGTGAGAGCAGCCGAGCCCAGCACATCCCTGCCAGGAGCTGCCCCAGCAGAGCCCTCCCCAGCACACTCACGCTGTCATCGTCCGCGTCGATGTTGAAGTTGATCTCTGCAATCCTGTCGAAGGGAGCACTGCAGAGGGAAGGGCAGGGGAGGTCAGAGGTGGCAGGAGGAGCACGGCACTGTCCCATCCAGCACAGGCCAGAGCACAGCCAGCCACAGAGACACCTTGGGGACCCTCCAGGCCTCCTCCCCACTCCCCGAGTGCTCTCTGTGTTCTGCACAGGGTCTGTCTCTCTGAGGTGAGGAGCACTCCAGGGATTCACACCAAGGTCTGCAAAGATCCCCAAGGGAACAGCCTTTGCTCTATCTGGTCAATGTGGTATTTGGAGGGTTTAGGGCAAGCCCAGCACTGGCTGGCTGTTATCTTGCACCTCTCATGGGACCTCTGGAGCTAGCTTCAGTTTTTTCACCAGGTCTCTCCAGCTGAACTAAATCTCAGAAAAAAACCCAACTCATAATTAGTGAAAAAGAGGAGGAGCTGCCCCCAGGCACTCTGCAGCTCCAGTCCTGCATTCACCCCAGAACTCCCCTGGGATCCTCAGCCTGAGACAAGACCCAGAGGTGGGATCATACCCTGCACAGTGGGCACACACCCAGGAACACCCAGTTGGCATTGCCCCTGCCCCTTCCAACACAATTCCAGTAGTTTCAGGGCACCCTGGTGCACCCACGGCTCTACAGCCCCGACGCATTACCAACCACTGCAAAACTCCCTGAATAACCCAATTTCTGATTTAGACCTAGAGTGCCTGTTGTAAGAACAGCAGAGGGTGCTACAGGCCAAAGAACTGCAACCCACCAGCACAGCCTGGCTCAATGCAGCAACTTTTCACCCTCTCTCTAGGTCTGGGCACTGCTATTTTCTGTGAAGACAACTCTTCAATCCATAAAAAACACTGTCATGCAAACCTCCAGGACACTGAAACGTTATTAATACTTCTTAAAGATTCGAATTCATGCCTGCAGCAGTTCTCAGCAGCCAGGAAGCAGGTGAGAGGGAACTGCACCCTCAGAACACTCAAGGCCAGAACAGTTCTGTGGTGCATTCTCCTTTTCTGATGCCAGCTCCCGAGGCAGTGAGCACATCCCAGCTGCAGGTGTTGTTCAGCTTCATGTTCATTTTCCACATGGACATTACCTACATCAATTACCTCCTCCCCTCCACCTACATGCTCAGAAGTTCAATATTAGCTGCTCTCTGATAAGAAGTTAAAAGTGTGTTTCTTCTGCTTGAAAAAATGTGCAGAACTGAGTAATCCATGTCCAGTTAAATTCCCATTCCAGCCTGGAATTTTTTGGCCTTATTAAAGTTCTCAACATCTATAATACTCAGAAAACAAGGCGAGGAGAGGTGGACTCCAAAACTTTTCTCTGCATTAGAAGATGGTTCCCAACTATTTAGCAAACACCTTAATATTAAGTTCTTAAGGCCCTGAGGATCTCATGACTCTCTACTTGGATTCATGCTTGAAAGCAGCTCTGAAGCAGCCAAACTATTTCCACATTGTTATTTCATTTAAGGTATTTCATGGAGCCCAGCAGTTGCTAAAACATGGTCTGAGCAGAACCAGCAAATGAATCCTCAGTAAATCAGAGCTGGAGCAGCCAAGGTGCCAGGGTGGTGTGACATACCCAGAGCTTCCTGGGCCAAAAGCACCTTGTTTCTGTCAGGACCCCAGGATCCTGCAGTTCTCCACAGAGCAGACCCAACATTTACTGGGACTATTACATCTGAACTGTGGCTCTTTAGCCTGGAGCAAAGGAGGCTCAGGGGAGACCTTCTGGCTCTGCACAGCTCCTGACAGGAGCCTGGAGCCAGGGGGGGGTCGGGCTCTGCTCCCCAGGGACAAGGGACAGGACAAGAGGAAAGGGCCTCAAGTTGCCCCAGGGGAGGTTTCAGTTGCCCCTGAGGAACAATTTCTTGCCCTGGAGGGCTGTGGAGGCCTGTGCCAGGCTGCCCAGGGCAGTGGTGGAGTCCCCACCCCTGGAGGGGTTTCCAAGCTGTGGAGATGTGGGGGGAGGGACACGGGGCAGTGGGGACCTGGCACTGCTGGGGGGTGGTTGGACGGGATGATCAGCCTGAACAATTCCAGGATTTGCTGCCCTGGGAGTGGTGGCAGGGACAGCAGGTACTGCCCCAGGCTCTCCCTGTGCCCCTGCATGCCAAGGAACTCCTCTGAGTGAGAGAAACATTGCCATGGGCTGAAAGTGAATGGGCAAAATCACCACGCAGGGAACACAGGGACTGGGAATCCTCCTGGAGCATTTTCCATCAATAAATGGGTACTAAATGGTTACCATTTCTGAGCCATTATGGACAAGAGGGGTAATTACAGACCCACTAATCTCCTTAGCTACAATTTTTAAGGTGAGAAGATGGGCTGCAGTTTTAATTAGATGACAGTAGTTCTCTATAAAAGCAGCACAAATTCCAAATGCTGAATTCAGCAAGTCGTGCAACAAATCCACCTTTATCTCCTCCTTTAAGCTGTTATTTGCTCCTGCCTTATCTGTGTTTCCTTTTTCATGAGAGAGAAAATGGCTGAATTTTTCCATGGACTTCATCAGAACACTATTCTTTCTACTCCTTATTTCAATAAGGACTTAAAGCCACTGGAGAATATCTGTTTAATTGCCTAGGGTTAGCTCTAATGCTTTGCTTTCTGTCCAATTAAACTTATTGCAGAGTGTGGCTGGATAATTATGGTGTGTTTTATGAAAAATGTTTCTCATCAGAATGAAGAAGCACTTTTCCCTGGTCCTACAACTGTCTTTGGAGATCAGGGTGGACTCCTAACAAAGGCAAAACAGGGCAGCTGTGTTCCAAGCCACCGAGCAGTGTCCATTTGGTTCAACCCAAAGCAGGGACACAGCGAGCTTCACTTCAAAACCTGAACCAGAAGAAGAAAGATTAGATGCAAAGAGGCTTAAATGCTATTTCTAAGCCTCTTGAAGTCTTAGAAACTTACTTGATATTATCATCCTGGTCTGCAAATTCCTCATCGTTAAAGCCAAACTGATCCACAAAGTTGGCTGTCATCTGCTGGATCTGGTACTCGGAGAAGGCCTGAGCAGTGCAACCCAAAAAGAGCCATCATTAACGTGTCCAAAAAGATTCCAATAAGCTGGCTGGAAACATGTTCTAGAAAAGCATTAGTACTGTGGAAAACTGACACACTTGGAGAAATCATCTTTTCCAAGCCCCTTGCTCAAAGCAGGATCAGACAGCTCCTGGAACAGACACTTCTCTGACCTGCTCTTGACTTCTTCCAAAGAGAGTTTTGAAATTTCCTAGGAAACCCTTTGTTGGCTTCACTGTGCTGTTAAAACATTGTCTTGGGCTTTCCCTGATGCAATTCAAAATGTTCCTCACTGCAGCTGGAGCCCACCACTGAACCACGATGGTGCCTGGCACCTCCTCTAACCCCTGCTCCTGGTAGGACGAGGCACATGTCTCCACATAATCTTGTCCTCTTATGACCAAATGGACCAAATCTTTTCAGCTTTTTCTCCTACATCATATTCTACACCTCTGATTGTCCCATTGCTGCTCTCTACCTCACCTCTTGTTAACAGAACTCACTTGTGAAGGTCACTGCCTCCAACTGGATGTTCACCAAGGAGAATGGGAAAATCACTCCACGTCTTGGAGACAACACTCCCCGTATCCTAGATTTGGATTCCCCCAGCTGTCTGGGTGCCCTTTCAGCTGGCACCCCAGGATAGCTGCCCAGATATCCTTTGGGGCACATTCTGGCCCACCCATCAGTGCCTCATTCTCTATGTATGACAAAGATTGCTTTCTTCTTTTTTTCCCCAGAGCCTCTCTCCTGTTTGGAGGCTAATTCTGCACACTGGTGGGCACCCCCTCCAGCTACAGCTGAGTCACTTAAACATCTCTCTCTGCAGCTTCACTTCATGGGGAGGGCACTGCAGGTGCTGTGAAGTACCCAGGCTCCTCTGAGCAGTTCTGCAGGCTCCCCACAAGATTTCTATTGATACTTGGCACAACAAAAGACAATTTTTTTTTCCAAATGCAATGCATTTTCCCTTTTTTAACGTGCTGTCAGTAACAGCTGAGGAAAAGAAAGGTATTTGTAATGTCAGAGTAGCCAGCTGGAATATTTGGACAAAAAAAATTAAACTATTTTCAGCTTATTTTTACCCTTAACCAGATCTCAGATTGTCTTTTTACTCCCCATGGGCACCTTCCTGCTAATTAGGTTGAAACTCGTGTGTCCTAATGCTCTTTATATTCTGAACATCACAAAAGGTTGGAAGAATTTGTCTAAATGCTTCATCCTGAAAAGCAGCTTCCAGATATTTGATAGAGCTTTAGCAGAGTCCCTCAGATTTTGAGGATCCTGAGATCTTTGCTAAATGCAAGTGAACCCTTAGTTACCTCCCTCTCTTCCCAAGCCAAGGATTTTTACTGCTTTTACTGCTCCAGCTTACTGCTCTTACTGCTGCATTTCAGTGTGGCTCTTCCTGGTTTTAACACAACCCTGCATAGCTCAGGAGGAAGCAGAACCCCCCTGTCAGCTCCAGTTCTGCTCAGGTAGGTGAACACAACCTTGCTGGCTGAGAAAACTCACTGCAGCTGGTCTAGAGCCTGCAGACCAGCCAGCCCCCTGGTGTGGAGAACCAGGAGAAGAGCAATGGGCAGCACCTCACAGAGGTGTGAGACATCATGTACCTGGGACCTGAGTGCAGTCTGAGCCAAATGTAACCCCAGCTGGAGGCTCCAGTTCTGCTCAGGTAGGTGAACACAACCTTGCTGGCTGAGAAAACTCACTGCAGCTGGTCTAGAGCCTGCAGACCAGCCAGCCCCCTGGTGTGGAGAACCAGGAGAAGAGCAATGGGCAGCACCTCACAGAGGTGTGAGACATCATGTACCTGGGACCTGAGTGCAGTCTGAGCCAAATGTAACCCCAGCTGGAGCCTGGACCATGTAAGTAACTGTGCAGGACAAGAGCCTGTCTCTGGGATACAACAGGGACTCTCTTGTCCTTGTTGACAGGACAAGAGGAAAGGGCCTCAAGTTGCCCCAGGGGAGGTTTCAGTTGCCCCTGAGGAACAATTTCTTGCCCTGGAGGGTTGCCCAGGGCTGTGCCAGGCTGCCCAGG